GCAGGAGAGCTGTCCAGGACCCGCGTGTGTCCTGAGGAAAGTGGGAGCCGCCCGGGGCTGACTGTTCCCGTGTTACCGACAAGCAGGGGTGGGGGTTGGGGAGCCCTGTCCCCCTCCCACTTCATGCTCTGCAGGGAGCAGCTCCCCAGGCCTGCTGCTGCCCCTACACACCCCGCCCCGGCCCCTCCATGCAGGAAGCAGCGCTGTGGTCCCGGAGCCCTGGCCGTGACCTTGACAGGCCACTGTTTCCTGACCCCATCCTGACACCCCCACGTTCCCAGCAGGGATTTAGCTGCCTTGGGGCCACGGACCCGGCTCTCTGCCCTCAGGCGCGTCAGAGCCTGATTTCATCTTAAAACAGGAAAAGCTCCCACACTCCGGAGACAGTCGGCACTGCCAGCTCGGAAGCAGGAGCCCGGGGTTCAGGGCCGCAGCTTGTGCAGAAGCACCCGGAGCGCCGAGGCGCACACGCAGGGGCCTTGCTGGGGTTCTCAGTCAGAAGGAGTCGGTGGAGCCTGAACAGTGGATGTCTAGGGTCACCCACGCGGTGCCACTGGTGGGCGGCCAAGGGCTTGGCTTTGAGAGTCGCTGCTGACCTGGGCGCTCTGGCATCTGCATGTCCAGGCGGGTCCCCACCCACGGGGTCCCAGCTGGGAGCTGGGGCTGCACCAACAACCAATGCAAGTAGGAGGTTCTCCCCGAGGCCCCTCCACTCCTGGCTCTGCTCTTCACACAGGCTTTTCAGGTCGCTTCTCCTCACCCATGAGGCCCGGTGAGAGGACCCCTGAGGGCGTTGCATTTCTGGTGCCCTCCCTCCCTCCCTCTCTAAGGAGCGCCACAGCTGGCCTGATCCGAGGCCGGGCTCCTCCACGCGCCTGAGCACAGCGGCTGTCACGCTTCCCCTCCATCACCCGCGGGAGGCTCTGTTCCCACACACGTGCTGGCCTCCGCTCCAGAGTCTGCTTCCCTGAGTGGGGGTCGGGGTGGAGGGTCAGGACGTTGCCTCTCCCGGTGTCCAGGTCCAGCCGATGCTGGTCGGTGGCCACAACTGATGGCGGGGATGTGGACACAGCAGGTGGGCCAAGGAGCCCACGGGGCCCCAGGAGGATGTGGGCCCTTGGCGTAACCCCAAGTAGAGTCAGAGGTGTCTGCTGTGCCCCATGGGCCAGGGGAGGCGGCCAGCAGGCAAGAAAACCCCACTCTGGCTTCGCCTGGTGTCTTCACACATGGCCGAGAGGACAAAACCAACACCCGAGGAGAGACGGACGGAGTCCAGGGCCTGGTGGACAGGCGGGGAGGAGGGGCCTGTGCCCTCGGGCTGGGGTGAGGACGTCACTCAGGGGCTGCCCCCAAAGGGGGCGGTTTGGAGACGTGCGGGGCTTTGGGGACAGACAGGCAGACGGGTGGGGCACACGGCACAGGAGGATGACTTGGAGGCAGAGAGCATGACCCGGCGGGGAGAGCAGGCAGGTCGCCCGGAGAAGGAGGCGCAGCCCCTGTTTGGTCATCCAGGCAAGCCCCGTGCTTCAGCTCCGCTCACGGGGCGCCGTCAGCAGCATGGAGGTCGGCGTGACTCCTGCTTCCGTATCAGCACAAAGACGCCGAGAGAGGGAGAGTTAGGCCAGTGTTGCTCAGGGGCTGAGGTGGGGCCAGGCCTGCGCCTCCTCTCCGGACCCCACGGCCGCTGCTGCGTCTCTCAGAGGCGGCAAAATTGCGGGAGCCGGGCTGGGCCGAAACCCTGAGCCTGATGCGCACCCGAGGGCCCCAGAGCCCAACCCAGGACCGCGGGGAGGGTCTCCTGAGCCGCCGACGTGATGAGTCTCAGCTCCCTAATCTCAGTGGCTGCAGAGATGAGTAGAGACGCGGAACTGGGGCCAGAGAGACGTTACCTTTCACCCCCATACACCCCTTCCCCCCGTCCCCCTCCCCCCAATTCGAGGAACCTTGTGGTCCCCGCGGCGGGTCTGGGCCTCCTCCTCCCCGATCCCTCTCCCCTCCTCGCACATGGTCAGGAGCGTCCTGGGCCCGTCCTCACTGTGCGCGGGGACTGGGGCAGCAACTGCCTGGACACTCCCCCTCAGTCCCGGCCTGGGCTCCCGGCAGTCCCCGGAGGCTCCAATCCTGACACCCCCAAGGGAGAGCAGAGCCCCTGGCGCCCCGGACAGGCTGACCCCTGTGCCCAGGCTGCTCCTCGGAGAGCTGCCATGCAAGTGAGCTCACTCACACACGTGTACACGTGTACTCACTCACACACGTATACTCACACACATTCACACTCACACATGTATACTCACACTCATACACGTATATTCACACTCACACATGTATACTCACACACACGTATACTCACACTCACACACACACCTGGCCACACACACTCACCCTCCACCCATACTCAGTCGACATAGTCATACACAAACCCACACACACACACATCTGATCACACTCACCCACACATAGTCACACAATCACACGCATGCAGTTGTTTACAGTCACACACTCACATACTCACGCACACACACTCACACTCATGAACCCATACACCCTCAATCACACAGTCAGTCACAACTCACAGCACACACACACACTCACACTCACACCTGGGCTGACCACCCACCCCCATTCACGATGTCTCCTATTTCAGGTCTTAGCTTGAGCACCCCGAGGAGGAATTTGTCAGAGACAAAGCAAGGAAGTTCTTTCCTGGGGGGTGGGGGAACGTCAGGGAGCAGGCAAGGTCAGGCCACAGTGGTCAGAGAGGGTCGCCAGGCCCCTGTCCTCCCAACGGAACCTCTGTCCTGAGAGTCCTCACGTGGTGACAGGATCTGAGCTTCCCCCAGAGCAGCGTCCCTGCAACAGGGGCCACTAGCTCCTAGCCTTGCTCCACTGCACAGCCAAGGCCTCTGCCAGAGCCTCCCCCAGATCACCTCTGCCCCTCCATCCGGCATCTGTCCATCTGTCTCGCCCTCCCAGAGGGGCTGGTGACTGGGCTGTTCTGTCAGGCGCCCATCGCCACACCTCAGGCTGCACCCAATGTGCACACAGAAGAGGAGGCCAAGCCTGTGTACACAGAGTAGGAGGGGGCGTGAGCTGCCACCAGGACTCACCGGGCTCCGAACCCCGTTGACCTGGGGTGGAATGAGGGCCGTGGTGGATGGCCTGAGTGTCCAGTCTGGGCAGCGAGATCAGTGCATCCACCCGGGTCAGCGCTGCCAGGCCCACCCACCCGCTGTCAGACAGCTGGGGGGACCAGGGGACCTGCAGGCTGCTCCGGAGGAGACCACGGGTGGTGAGCAGACAGGGGGTGGTGGTGACCGAACCCGGGGCTGACAGCAAGGACCCCTGAGAGGCCACAGTCACTAAAAGCCTCTGGCCCCGGGTCCGGCCCAGGGTGGGCAGAGAAGGCTGGTGGGACACTGAAGGGCAACCCCAGTGCTTTTGCTCCCTCCTGGCCCAAATAACCAGGGGTCAGGGTGGCCACAGCCCTTTCTGGAGTTCCGGGTTCCCTCCTCACCTCCCCACAGACCAGACTCCACCCTGCATTCACACCTGGGGTCAGTGGAGGTGCAAAGTCACCTGGGGGGCTGGTCAGGAAGAAAGGGGTCCACATCCCACGCCCCTCCCTGGCCCCCAGGACAGTGTCTTCCACTCTCTTCCTGTCGCCTTCCTGCAGTTGAACCCCTTTTCTTTACAGCGGTGGCCACAGCCAGTGCCCTGACCAGGGGGTCTTGTGCACCGCCGGAAGCAGCAGACCAAAGCCCGGGGACACAGTGGCCGTGGTCAGGGCAGGTCTCTGCTCAGGCTCCACAACGGCCACGCAGCTGTGAAGACACGCAGGGCTGCTCCTCCTTCCAGACCGGCGAGGGCATCGGCTCCTCCTGATGAGAGGGTTGGTGAGTGTGCCCACCCCCCCCCACCCTGGGACCCGCTGCCCTGTCTTTATGACCCCCAGAGAGGAGGCTGGACGCCCCGGGTCAGGCCAGCGGGAAGGAGCCATGCGGCCCTGAGGTCGGCATGGGACTCGGGTAGGGACTCGGGTCCTGGGTCAGGCAGGTTCGGTTCTGGCGCCGGGGATGCGGGCTTGTGCTCACTGCTCTTGGCCGGTCCCCGGGTGTGGGTGACAGGGGCGTCAGACGGCCCCAGAGCGCCCCGCGAGCCGAGCAGGACTGTCCCGCCGGGCCTCAGCCTCACCTCTGCACCCATCCTTCCCGGGGAGCAGGTGGGCCCGGCCGGCTGCACGCGGGGCCAGAGCTGGCGGGACGGGGGTCTCATCATGGGGATCTGCTGGACGGGGCGCAGCTCCTGAAAGCCCCTCTGGCCGGCGCCTCTGGAGACCCCAGGCCCGCGCGGGCACCTCTGCCTGGGGGCGGGAGCTCTGAGATGATTCCAGGGACGCTGGATTCTTCGGGGTCACCTTACGCCCACAACAGAGTATGAGACCGAGAAAGGAACAAGGGCCCCCCGGTCTACAGTAGGGCCCCCGGGTCCTGTGGATTAATAAAGCGCCCCCAGTCTTGGGAAACTTCGGGAATGGCTCCCCAAGGAGCAAGGGCGGGGCCGAGCCCTAGTCCTCCCCAGGAACCCCCTGTGCACCCAGGCCGCAGGGTGGGGGCGAGCAGCCCCCTCAGTGCCGGGAGTGCTCCCTACAGTGCTCCCCTCGCGCTGCTCACCCCACAGCTCCGTGGCGACCGCGTGTCCTGCAGCGCGGCTCCCGCCACCCCCAGCCCGTTCCCTGCACATTCAGGCCGTGGAGGTCCAGGCCGCCCCCGCCAACTCCACCGCATCACCTGCGGGGGTGACACACAGCGCTGGCCCCACTGGGAGCCCCGCGGTTATCTTGGCCAGAGGGAGCCTCTCCCTGCCCGCAGCCCAGTGACCCCGCCTGGGGCGCTGTCAGGGAGGGTGTCCCGGCAGCAGCACCAGGGGATGGAAACCCCACGGCGGAGTCAGGGAAGGCCTGACAGAGAATAACGTAACAAACACACACAAAACCAGGTGTCCTGAGATTTATTAGTCAGATCCCGGTGAGCACTGGCAGCCACTGCTATTAGCACACGACGAGAGTCGGGAGGGGCTCGGAGGACAGAGGGTGGACAGAGGGTTTGGAAAGCACTAGGCTGGGAACCCCGTGGGGTGAGTGATAATAGAGCCATTCAGGCGGCAGGTAGAGAGGCCAGCGGGGAGGAGTGTGCCCCGGGTTAGGGGTGCGGGTGGTCAGATGACACTGCAGGGAGGAGGGAGCAGGTCTTCAGGCCGCGATCTCCTACCCCCAGGGGATCCCCGAGTGGATGGCCCTTGGGAATCCAAGCAGAAGACAGAGAGCAAGAGACACAGCGTCTGGGCGTGGACATGGGCCCCGGCCGTGCAGCTGGGTGTAGGGGTGTCATGGAGAACACCCCACATCACCAGCGGTGCTCACAGGTAGTGTCAAAAAAGATCTAATTTCCATTTTCCTAAACAAACTTTGTACTCGGACAGATTATTGCCTCTTCTGCAACTGGTTATGTGTGTCTGTGAGGAGGAACAAGGCGGGCCTGGGCTGTGTGGAATGAGATGGTAAAATGTTCATAGTTGAAAATAGAGCCACATAACAAACCATTTCAAACCCTAGGGTTTTAAATTAATAATCATCTATTTTTTTTTAAACAAAGAATCCATATTTAGATGGGGGGTGGGCGAGGGGCTCCTCATTGCTCTCAGCCTCATGGGAGGGCCCCACAAGCAGCTGGAGTGTCCACTTCCATGTTGCCTCACCTGCTCTGCAGATGGAGGGTCACCCTGGTGGGCCAGCGACTTGATCCTCTCCAGGGGTTCTCAGGGGCCAAGTCCAAGGGCGAGCACCCAAGGGAGCAGGGGACAGGTTCCAGCTCCACCTGAGAAGTCCCTGGGGCTACGTCAGCCACCTGCTGTTCATCCACATCAGGCAGGGGACACAGACCCAACAGCTCAATGGCGGGGAACAAGGTCAGGGTACAGGGATAAGGAAGACAGGAGATACGGCCACGGCCTTATGTGGGGATGCACATACTGCATTAGCGTGTCACCGCAGACTGGGAAGGAAAGCTAAGGCTGACATTACTTAGTAAAGAAGTCCTTTATTCCTGTCAGTATCTTCTTGACCGCATTCACAATGTCATCAAGCACACCCTGACTAGCTTCTCCCTCTACATTTTTTATTCGCTCTTCATATTTCCTCCACAGCTCTGCGATTTTTCTTTCCCTTTCTCCCTGGGGTTTATCAGCATCTTCCACTTCCACCAGTTTAATTGCATTATGGAATTGCTCTGTGTAGATTTTCTTCAAGTTCTCCACCTTTTCTTTGAGCTTTTTCTCTATGTCCTTGTAGATGGCGTCAGAGAAGCAGGCCCCTCCGTTTCTCTGCACCATCTTCTCTATCAGCCCCACCAGCTCCTGCACCTGAGCCTCCTTCTCGGCCTCCCCTGCTCTGTTGTTGAAGGCGCAGCAGCGGCCCCCAGCCTCCCTGACCAGGCTTCTGAGATTCACACCTGCCTGTGCTATAAATTCACTCAGGCTGCTATTCCCCAAATCTTCCTTGCCAGTGAACAAGATGATCATGTGCTTCATGACAGATTTCCCGAAGACGTTCTTGATCAACGCCACGGTTTGCTGCTCCTCCTCCGTGTAGCGGCTGGACAGCCGCATCACCATGACGACGGCGTGGGGCCCCGGGGCCGAGGCCAGGACGCACTGGCTGATCTCCCTACAGGTGGTGTCCAGGCTCTCCTTGGTGTCAAAGAGCCCCGGGGTGTCGACCACAAGAAGCCTCCTCCCCCGCCATTCCCGGGCTGCTGCCTGGCAGTGTTGGGTAATAGCATGGGGAACAAGTTTAGATTCAAATACTTTTTCCCCAAGGAGGGTATTTGCTGTGGCACTTTTCCCACTTCCGGTTTTCCCCACGAGCACGATCCTCAGAGTGTTGTCCTTGCTGTGTTCTGTGGTCACCCAGGAGGTTCCGGCGGGCAGGCTCCTCACAGGCCTGAAGGACAAGAAGAGGGAAGGATCAGTCCAGGCCCTGGAACCCGCCCAGCTGCTTTTCTCTTTTGTTCCCCCTGAAAGTCTACTCTGTGTCCTCCCTGATGCCAGGAGAGGCTGGAAGAGGAAACCGCCCCTCACCGTGGAGGGAATAATACAGTCCTTCCAGAGGGTTCCCTCGGAGGAGCACCCGGCCCAGCTGCTTTCCCAGGGGACTCGTTTAAGTTTCTAGAGACTGACCTGATCATCTCCGTGCTCTGCGACCTATTCACAGAAAACTGAGGGGGACCCTCCAGCTCCCCGTCAGGCTTTATCATGTTTCTCTGAGCCTGACTAAAATGCCACAAGTCAATAATCCTGCCCATGTGGGTCACTGGTAAATATTGATGCGAGAATCATAAGTAACTTATTACACTCGACAGTAACACAGCAGGATCTGAGAAAATTGATTTTTACCACAATACTTCGTATGATGATTTAGGCGAAACGCAGACTACTGAGCAAATAGAGACAATGGAGCAAATTCGACTCTGACCCAGGTGTAAGATTGGAATTAGCAGACACTTCTTTAGCATAATTGTAAAATTTATATTGGAAAAGTTTGTCCTCACTCTTACCCCCTGCAGCTACCTCAGTCCATCATAAAATTCAGTTGGGTAAAGAGGAACAAACTGGCCTGGACAAGCAAGACCAAGAGCCACGAGGGAGCCGGCTCTCCCGGGCAGTGGCCTCTGTGGCTCCAGGGTTAAGGCACCAGCGAGGGGGCGGGAGCTGAGTACAGAGCAACAGAGGAAACCAGGAGGGTGGGTCCTGGGCCTGCAGGGAGTGCGGAGACTCAGCAGATCGGCCACAGCCTCCACACCTGCACCCCCAGATATGGGAGCCGAGGCGACACCCAGGCATCTCGCAGAACCAGTGATGTTCTGCAGGAGTCATTTGTTTCATTCACTCACGACAAGCAGCCCGTGGGGAAGCTAATTCTGTTTTTCCAGCTATTATTTAACATTGGAAATCTGAGGTGACGTACAGCGCTGAGGAAAGTGCCCAGGTCGCCTGCTACAGGGGCTGGCAGAGGGGGTCACTTCAGTCCCCGTGACCCCACATCCACCCTGAACAACTCACACTCCCGTCTCCCCCTGGCTGCTTCTCGGGCCCAGGATTCCAAATGTGGGTGGCCTCACAGCAGAGACAGGCCAGGGCGGGGGGCAGAGCCCACTCTCTCCCTGACGGGGAGCTGCAGCAAGCCGGGACTCAGGGCAGAGGGTGGAGGCTCCACTTACGTTGTTCCTTAGGGAGCCCACCCTCACCAGAGCACCCCGTTCTCCCCCACCTCATGCCAGGGCTGCAGCTTCTCTCTGGGAAAGGCTGGCAGGACGCAGCAACCAGATTCTCCATGTCCCCCGTCACCGGTGACCGGGATGCCCCGGGAGCCCTCCCTCCCCATCCCCACCCTGGCCAGTGAGGTGGGAGGTGCAGGGACATGGTGCTGGTCAGTCCCGGCTCCTCTGACCCTGAAGCCTCACTGCTCTGTCCAGTCAGTGTGGTCAGCACATGGACAATCCCCCTGGGGATGGGCCCCTCCTCCCGGGTTCATTGTGGCCAAGTCCAGGGGGCACCCAAGGGAGCAGGGGGCAGGTTCCCTCTCTACCTGAGCAGTCCCCAGGGCTGCATCAGCCACCTGCCTCTTATCAAAGCAGCCACAAGGTCCATCCACTTCAAGCGGGGGACACGGACTCCACAACTTACTGAGGGAGTAACAAGGTCAGATTGTAAGAAGAAAAAGGCAGAAGGTACTGTCACGCCTTATGGATAGATGCATGCCCCACCTCAGCGCGTCATCGCGGCAGATGAAGAAAACCTGAAATTAACATGACATGCCAAACATCTCCTATGTATTCCAGAGCATCTTTTTGACCCCCTTCCCTCCCTTTTCAAATGTAGTGTTCTCACTTCTTACCTTGTATCTTTTTTTTTAAAAGATTTATTTATTTATACAAGCACTGGGGTACAGGCCAGAGGCACAGGAGGGTGAGAGAATTCACCAGAGACAGAGCAAGGAGCAGAAAAAGCAGAAGGACAAAAGCACACTGCTGAGGGGAGCAGTGAGTGAGATAGGAGAGGTCTGCCGCGCTACGTGGGAATCTCCCTGGCCGACCAGGATTCGAACCAGCGCTGCAGAGGCTGCGGACAGCTTCATAGCACTGCGCTCAACCAGCTGCCCCACCGGGGAGGCCCTTACCATGTATTTCTTATTTGCTCTTCACATTACCTCGGCAGATCTGAGATTTTCCTTTCCCTTTTGTCCTGGGCTTGATCGGCATCTTCCTCTTCTACCAGTTTAATTTCATTATTTAATTTATCCGTTTCGATTTTCATCAAATTCTCTGCCTGTTGTTTCAGCTTTTTCTCCATGTCCTTGTAGATGGCGTCAGAGACGTAGGCCCCTCCATTGCTCTGCACCATCTTCTCTATCAGCCCCACCAGCTCCTGCACCTGAGCCTCCTTCTCGGCCGCCCCTGCTCTGTTGTTGAAGGCGCAGCAGCGGCCCCCAGCCCCCCTGATGATGCTTCTTAGAGACACCTCTTGTTGTTCTATAAACTCATCTAGGCTGTGATTCTCCAAATCATCCTTGCCCGTGAAGAGGATGATCATGTGCTTCATGGCAGAATCCCCGAAGATGTTCTTGATCAACGTGAGGGTTTGCAGCTCCCCCTCCGTGTAGTGGTCCAGCCGCATCACCATGACGATGGCGTGGGGCCCCGGGGCCGAGGCCAGGACGCACCGGCTGATCTCCAAACAGGTGGTGTCCAGGCTCCCCTTGGTGTCAAAGAGCCCAGGGGTGTCGACCACTAGAAGCTTCCTCCCCCGCCATTCCCGGGCTGCTGCCTGGCAGTGCTTGGTAACAGTGTGGGGACCAAGTTTAGATTCAAATGCTTTTTTCCCCAGGAGGGTGTTTCCTGAGGCGCTTTTCCCACTTCTGGTTCTCCCCACGAGCACGATCCTCAGAAGGTCAGCCATGGTCAACCAGGAGGTCTGAAGTGCGGGCACCTTTATAATTTTAAGAAGAAATAAAAAAAAAAAAGATTCAAATAAATATCCCAGTCTCCATTTTCTCTGTGCACACCCTCCTGGTTGTGTAAATGGCGCCCGTCTCCTAAGGCAGGGGCTCACTGAAGTCACTCTCTGGGGTCGTCTTACTGCTCTGGTGTCTGCTGACGGGGCCCTCTGTCCTGTGAGGAAAGCAGCGCCCACAGTGTTAAATCTGTTCCTTCGTTTTCCTTGTGAGTCGCACATTTTCTGATCTCGGACAGACTCGGGTATTTGCTTTTGATCTGAAACCTGAGGGAGCTGGTGGGAGCAGGTAGTGTTCCGTCTAGGGAAGAGCTGGTTAAAGAGCAGGAGCATCCGACACTCAGAGTGTGGGCTGGGGGTTCTTGGGGTGCCACCTGGGTGTGAGCAGCTGGGTCAGGGGGCTCAGCCTGAGGGGATAACCCCTTGGGGCGGGATGGGAGCACTGCCTGGTGTTTGTGTTGCTCTGGGTACACGGTGAGCGCGTCTCATTTTCTCAAGATACCCAGAAAAAGATAAATTTGATGTCATTGTTTTAAAAATACTCTGATGTTTAGAAAGACCAGTCTGGGGTGTGTTGTGATCTATAATGACCAAGTGTTTGAGGTGAGCTTCTGGCATCGGACTCAGAAGTTGAAAAGCTGTTCCTACGCTGGCTGCTAGCAGATCAAGTCATCTCTTTCTGAAATTGCCTGTGTGCGTCACAGCTAAAGGCAGGGGATCCGTGTGGGCCCCGGGAAAGGGCCGTGACTGTGAAGACTCCACAGAGAAAGTCCTCGAGGAGCGGCCACAGGGAGCCTCAGCCTGGAGCTGTCCCTGGACCATCCCACCAGCCCTCGGCTGCAGACTCCCGCCCTCCTCACTGAACCCCCAGACGGGCGAGAGGAAACCTGACAGTTCGTCCTGGGAGGGGAGCATCCCCTGAGCTGCCTGACCCGGGCGGTGGCAGAAACGACCGTGCCCCGTGCCTCCCCCCGTGACCCCAGCACAGCCCTCGGGGAACGTGTCAGGAAAGAGAATCAGCAGCGTTGGAAGCCACGGCGCGTCCTGACTAGCGGGGTTTACTCTAGGAACCTAGTGGGGAGGTGGGGCTGGGGGAGCTCAATGGGAGAAATTTGTCCATATGATCCTTTCATAGCCGCTCATTGTTAGAACATCCCCCAAAATATGAATCGCAACACCCTTCATGACCTATTTGTCTGTCCATCTACACCAGAAACAGCAGCTCCCGCAGCTGGACACGCTCCCACTCCCAGACCGCGTCTGTCCCGGCGCGGCCTCGTCCACGGGGGAGAAGCGGCCAGGACAGGGACAGGAGGGGACAAAACACGGGGCGGTGGTGACTCATCCGGGGAGCCTCACAGGGTGCTGCACACAGGGAGACCGGGCAGGAGACTGCACCCCCAGCCGCATAGGCCCTATTGGGGGCTCCCCTGTGGGGATGGGGCCCAGCGGGAAGGTCCGGCTGGCTGGGAGGGCAGACCCCGCAGCCCTCACGCTCCCCAGGAACAACAGGAAGGTCCAGATTTCACCCCCAGAAGCGACCCTCACCTGCGACGCCACAGGAGACAGGCCCGCGCCTCCCAAGCCTGAGCATGGGGGACTTTCCTAAATTACCCCAAAACACAGACGTGAACCAGGCCCAAGGGGGACACCTGAACTTGAGGCTTGCAGCTCAGACATTGAGGCGCCAGGGCTGCACCCCGCTTTCCTGACAGCGGGCAACAGCTGGAGAGAGGGGGACTCGGCAGCGCTTTTGGGGCCCCCGAGACCCTGGGGGACAAGAGACAAGTGCCACCCTGCCATCAGGACACAGAGGTCATGTTGGGGAGGGGGTGCCAGGGCGAGCCCCCCAGGCCCGAGCCCCGGGTTGGAAGGGGACCCTAATGCAGGGGGAAAGCTACCAACAACGAGTCTCCCCAAACACGCCCGCCCCCCCAGGACTGTGGGGCCAGAGGAAGGATCTCCGGACAAACCCCGCGTCCTCCGGCAAACAGTGTCCAGCAGGTGCAGGATCCGCTCCAGGCCCCGGGGCCACACCGGCAGGTCCTCGCATTTCAGGGTGACAGAGGCCTCGCGCCCAGAAACCGCCACTCATTCCCGCAGCCAAGGGCTGGTGGCGGATGGTGAGCAAGAAAACGCGAGTTTAGACCCAGCAGGACGCGCATTTTCTCTCTCTCTCTCTCTCTCTCTCTCTCTCTCTCTCTCTCTCTCTCTCAGGGGAAGACAGGTTGGGGGGCTGGGCAGGGGGAGGGAGGCAGAACCCGGGTTTCTTTAGAGTCACTGTATTTCGTATTTTGATTTTAGAATGATGTAAATATTGTACATTACAACAAAATTATATTGCAAATTCCCTCTTAAAAATGAAAGGAAACAAGGAACAGAACCCTGTGCCTGAGAACATCACAGAGCGTAGAGACAAGAGAAACTCCAAGTGATTCAAAACACATGAATTGCAGGAAAACCTCCAGCAATTGTGGAAAAGAACCAAATCACCTTTAAGCTTTTTTTATAATTTACCACTAGTACTGTCGATGTGATCCTGAAGTTGTGTGGACTGTCTCTGCACACACTGAACACACGTACACGCACACACACACACACACACACACACACACACACACAGGGTACTGGAAAGATCTAGAATAGGACACACCCTTTATTGCTTAGATAGATTCCAGCCTCCACGGCCATCTTCCAGCAAGAGGAACTTGGGGTTCTTCCAGGAATGCCTGACTGACAGCCCAAGACAGGAAAGGTACAAAGTGATGACCTGGGATCATTTTACTAGATTTTTTTGGCTTCTTGATTCAAATGAAATAAACAGTCAATGAAGCATGAGACGAGCAATTAAATCTAAACTGACGTGTGGACATCACTCCAGTAAATCTCTTGGTTTCCTGACACATCTCCCCTCACGCCAGCCCCCGCCGGCGCTCTCCTCCATGGTCCCCCCACACTCACACACACACTCACACTCTCGAGGCGCATCACCACACCCACGGCCCTCCTGGCCTCACCTTCTCTGCAGATGATGAGTCTCGAGTTCTCGGGGAGAGCCCTGAGCTGCTGCCTCTGCTGCGAGTGAGGACAAGTGTGTTCCTCCTTGTGGAGCCCTGAGCCCTGGGCCACAAGCACAGGAAGCTCAGGTGGGCGGAGCCAGTGATGGGGTTTGCCTTTGTGGAGAAAAAGGAAACCTTTCCCTGTCACTGGACTGGGGCTGCAGGAGGCCTGGCTGCAGGAGGCCCGGCTCACACCTTGCCCTCCTGCACCTGTCCTGCTGCTGGTTCCCGCCAGCGGCCTTGGCCTGTGACCCCAGCCCACGTGCCCAGACCAGAGTGTGGAGCCTCTGCCCGGTGACCCCCGACCATTCCGGGCTGAGGCCCTGGGCTCCCAGCAGATGGAATGTCCATGACTGCCAGCTCAGGGCCCACCCAGTTTGAGGGCTGCCAGCTCAGCCCCCAAACTTCAGGAGTCCCCTAGGGTGATTCTGTGCCATAGACATTCAACTCCACCAAGATCAACCCACCCCCGACACCCACATCCCATGCCCGATTGCTGTGGGGGTAACACTTGACCACTGCCCCTGACCTCTGGGATGTCTGTAGAGCCTCTATTAGTCCCCAGCTTGTGCTGAGTGACAAGAGTGTGACCAGGGCTCATCGCAGCCCAGGGAGTCCTTCTGCCCAAGCCTCTCCCTCCTCTTCCCACAGGCTTCAGCCAAAACTTCCTAAACTCGTCCTTGCACCAGGTGATCCTGCCTCCTGGGGAGCCCTGGGTGACCCCCTGAAGCACATCTGACCTTCCTGCATGAGAAGAAGGGAAGCCAGGGGTCCCTGCGAGGAGGGGTGCAGCGGCAGCTGCAGTGAGGTGTGGGCTGCGGGGCTGGGGGCTTCCTGGTGGTGGTGTCCTGGGATGGTCAGTCCTCCTGAAGCCTCTGTCCTTACAGCCGTGTTTACAGCTGTGTGTCAGAGCAAACATCCCCCTCCAGAATAAAAGGAAATAATGTAGGGGCCTTGTGGAAAATCCTCATTAGAGGAAATTCATAGGCCCACCAGACTTTCAAATCTGGAGTTTTCCTTTCCAGCTCCGGGTTTTTTGGTCAAAATATAACCTGCATGGAGAAAAGGGGCCATCTGTGTTCACACTCTCTGCACTGTCACTGGCACCTTGACACAGGGCGCCTCGCCAGCACCCCAAAACCCCATGCCCTCCAGGGTGACCTCTAGCTGAGGCCAGTGGCGTAGATTGGTTTTAGTTTTTTTTGTTTTTTTATATTGATAGAATCATAGAAAATAAATTCTTTCATAACTGGCTTTTTTTTTTACCATTCTGTTTTGAAATTTATTCATATTAGATGTGGCAATCAATTCTTCATTCTCATGGCAATATACTATTTCATTGTGTGACTATAACCCAATTGATGTGTATAACTTATGAGTATATGTTATAAAATAGACTCAATTAATCTGAACTATGTTGCTTTCAGTTTAAAACATTTTCCAGTTTTCTATTATTTATTTATTTAAATAATTTATAAAATTTTATATTAATTTTATTTTTCAGCTTTATCCATATAATTGCTAAGTAAAAATTATGCATTCTAAAGGTACACAACTTGATGACTTGAGATGGGCATACACTGGGTCGTATTTACCACAACCAAGCTCATTACATGTCTGTGATCTCACATACTAGCTAATTTCTTTTCTCTCCTTGTTTGTGGGGAGAGCACTTCTATTTTATGGATATTTACTAGTGCTTGTTGTTCTGAGCAGCACTACTGCAAATGTCGCAGGCATTCCTTTTGATGAACACATGCACCTGCTTCTGTTGGGCCCCCTTTGGGGTACAGTAGCTGGACACTGACTATTGAGCTAGGAGCTTCCTAGACACGACCAGGATTGTCCAAGGTGGTTTGACCCGCTTACATTTTCACTAAGTATCATGTGAAACTTCTGTTTGCTCCACATCCTGACAATCTTGTTAAAGTTTTCTTCAGGTAGATTTTTTTTTTCACATAATTTTAAAGGTTACTCTTAGGTATTTTATTTTTTATATTTTAAAAACCACAATTTGTATCTACTTGGCTACTGTTTTATGTTTGTCAATTTTTACAGTTTTTATTTAATTTTGCATCCATCCACTTGGAAATGATTTCACTGTTTAGAGTAATTTATCAGTGTGTTCTCTTGCTTTTCCCAGATAGAAGATCAGAATCGACAAATAATAATTTTACAAACATCTTTTCACTTTTCACATATGCAATTTACTTCTTGGTGCTGACCACGATCCTGAAAGACACAATCCCAAACACCAGACCCAGAAGGTCAAATCCTGAAATCTAAATTTCTGGAGATCATAGTCCTGAGTGATCAAAATGTTGAATCCTGAAGGCCTCCATCATGTGGGAAAAAGAGGAGGCAGGCCATGAAATATAAGGGGGATGAGAGCTGGACTGGTCATAGGCGGGTACTCCAGCTGGTTGATGGGAAAGGACTGTGCCGTGTCCCCTCACAGAGTTGGCACATGCGACCACCTCACAGGGAAAGGGAAGAGCTGGGAAGATCGTCCTCCCTGGTGCCGTCAAAAGTGAACCTGGCTTGGTGTCCACAGCAGCATGATCACAGACTGTGGAGCAGATGGTGCCTACATCCTGCTGACTACGCTGTGGATGGCCAGCTCGCCCAGACGCAGGCACAGCTGGTGCTCAAGTCTCTCTCACACAGAGCAAGCCCTTTTCAAAAGGCCCAGAAATGTCTGGAAGAATTGTTGATGTTCTGTTCTCTATCATTTTATTTTTGGAATTTTTGCTTTGGCATTCTAGCATTCAGGATTGTGTCTTTCTGGAGTATAACCCAAACTCTCTTGATTTTTTTAAAAGATTTATTTATTTATGCATACAAGAACTGGGGTGCAGGCCAGGGTGTGGGGGTGAGAGGATTCACCAGAGATAGAGTGGGGAATAGAACAGGCAGATTAACTGAAACACACTGCTGAGGGGAGCAGTGGGAGCGTCAGGAGAGGTCTGCTGTGCCGTGTAGGTAGCTCCCTTGCTGGGGATCAAACTCGTGCTGCAGAGGCTGCGGATTGCTTCATAGGCTGTGTCTTAACCCCTTGCACCACCAGGGAGGCCCCGCTTGCATGGTTTCTGATGAGCAATCTGCTCTCGTTCTTGCCCTCTCTCCTCCAGAAATATAGATTTCAGGACTTGACATTCAGGATCTGGTGTTTGGGATTGTGTTTTCAGGATCGTGATCAGCACCAAGAAGTGAATTGCATATATGAAAAATGAAAAGATGGTTGTAAAATTGTTATTTGTCAAAGCTGTGATCTTCTATCTGGGAAAATCAAGAGACTGTACCCAGTGCATGTATAAACAAAAAACAAACAAACAAATAAATAAATAAAACATGCCTCTATTAAAAAAAAAAAAAATCATTAAAAAAAAAAATAAAATAAAATAAAATAAAATTATGTAAAAAAGGGCCTCTGGTAGTGCAAGGGGTTGAGCATCACATATGAAACAATCCACAGCCTCTGCAGCATGAGTTTGATTCCCGGCCTGTCAGGGAGCTGACCCACATGGCGCAGCAAACCTCTCCTGTCTCCCCGCTGCTCCCCTCAGGAGTGTATTTCAGTCAGTCTGCCTGTTCTGCTCCCCACTCCGTCTCTGGTGAATCCTCTCACCCCCCCCCATACCTCTGGCCTGTACCCCAGCTCTTAATGCATAAATAATTAATATTAAAAAAAAAAAGAAAAGAAACCATGCAAGCAAGAATAGAGTGGAGTAAAATATTTAAAGTGATGAACGTAGGAAGCCACCAACTAAAATTCTGTTACAAAAATAGCTTTTAGGGTGAATAAAGACTCTCTCATGCAAACAAGAGTCAGGGATTCTATCACCAGCAAACTGGCCCAACAACAAACAATCATTCATTAGGAGGAAGGAAAGTAACACAGGTCAGGAATCAGCTCTACATAAGGAAAGTAAGAGCATTTGTGTAGGAAATCTTTCATGTTCCTTATTCTGACCTGGCCTACTAGGTGATGTTTTGTTCACAGCGATGAAAGGAGCTTCGCATCACACGATGCCAGCACGTGGGTAACTGAAGTGAATGACAGCAGCGTTACGGCAGACGGGAGGCAGGAGCTGGGAATACTCTGTTATAAAGTACCTGGCTGATCCGGGAAGCAGTAGAACATCATTTGAAATGGCCATGAATTATTTGTAAATGTGTATTGCAAACTCTAGAGTAACCACTAATTTTTTTTATTTAAAAAAAAGTGCAATTGACATTCTAAGTACAGCACAGACATTTGGTTCCATGAGCAAGAAGTGTCCCCTGCGTTTCAGACCGTGATAAGTCACAGACACCGCAGGTGGTAGGAGTAACCCTGTGAGAGCTCAAGGTCCTGCACCATCAACAGGATGGCTAATGTGTGTGTCAATTTGATGGGGTGCCCGGATGTTGGTCAAACCTTCTAGATGTGTCTGTGAGGATGTTTCCCACTGAGAGAAGCACCAGCAGCAGAGGAGATGCAGAGAAATTGCCCTCCTCCACGTGGGTGGGTCTCATCATATCAGTTGAAGGCCCAAATGGAACAAAATGGCTGATTGAAAGTGAATTCCTTTTGCCTGACTACTTTTGAGGGTTTTTGCTTTTTTTTTTTTCTGGTTTTGAATTAAACTGGAACATGGGCTCTTCCCGGGTCTTGAGCCTGCGTGTCTTCAGTCCAGAGCTTCCCCGTCGCTCCTCCTGCTTCTCAGGCTGTGGACGGGGACTGGGCTGCGCCACTGGCTCAGGGTCTCCGCTGACTGCAGCTAGGGGGTTCCCAGGGCCATAAGCCAGTGAGGCAACTCCTTATAACAACTCCTATGAGCCAATTCTTTGTAATACCTGTCCACCTCCCTACCCACCTACCTGTTGAGAGACAGACCCGCATCCTATAGGTCCTCGTTCTCCGGAGAACCCTGACTCATACAGTCAGGCAGAAAGTGAGGGACTATCCTGTGTGGGGAAAGCCAAGTAAATAACAATGAAAAACTCGGGCCTCCCTGATGGCACACAGGGTTAAGCACAGCACTGTGAAGCTGTCTGCAGCCACTGTAGCGCGAGTTCGATCCCCCACCTGCCAGGGATCTACCCACATGGCACAACGGACCTCTCCTGTTATGCCTCCTGTCTCACCCGCTGTTCCCCTCAGCAGTGTATTTCAGTAGATCCGCCTATTCTGCTCCCTATTCTGTCTCTGGTGAGTCCTCTTACCCCCAACCCTGCACCTCTGGCCTATACCCCAGTTCTTGTATACACAAATAAATACACCTTTAAAAAAAAACAACAATGAAAAACTCCAGGTGAAGTGGGAGCTGGGATCCCTAAATCCAAGGAGACATCTGGATGCTCTGAGGGAAGTGAAGCAGCCGCCTACCCAGAGCGTAAACTTGGACCTATTTGAAAGGGAGCTGTAGATTGGGGGTGCTGGGTTAAACCAGAGGCCCCAGGGAGGGCTAACATGGTGGCAATAACACCCACTTCTCAGTTCCCGATAATAATAAAAAACATGTCGTCCTAGGATGTCCACACCCGAGTCCACAACCAAAGGCGTTCACAAGCAGAGACTGAGTTCACACTCGCAGATTTCCCCAGCAAAGGAATCATCAAAAGTGAGAGTCCGGAAGAAACAAGCATGAGACTGACGCTGCAGATTTTGCTGCAATAACATCTAAGCTGGTCTCCCGCCTGCTGCAGCCACCCAGGGGCGGCCACAGGGCCTCATCCAGATGCTGCACAGGTGACGGCATTTCCGGGCGGGGCCGTCATGCTCTAATTATTTATGCAGTGGAAGGAGTGGTACAAGCGAGCCATGGCGTCTAAGAACTAATGATGTTCAGGTCTTAGAGAATAATTTAATGTCAAACATGAGAAGGTGCACACACACACACACACACACACAGTATGAGAACGGGAGTAAATACTCCACAGCTATCCACTAGAACAGGAGGAAATTAGAACGACTGTGCCAGGTGAGAGGGACTTTTGAGTGTATCTTAACACTTTAACATCACGTGTCAGAGCTACTGGTAACGTCCCAGCAAACGCATCTTTGCGGAAGCTGAGGTTTTCCCTCCTCTCGTCTCCCTTTCAAACACGGCTCCCCCCAGACAGTGTCTGTGTTAGAGTCCGCACGTGCCCTCTGCGGGAGGGGACGTCCTCTGGGAGAGGGGGCAGTGGCGCGGACCAGCGCAGCGGTAGACTGGCAAGGCCGTCCCAGGGATGAGAAACTGTGCAGGGTGGTCAAGGATTCGGCGCATAAATGACAGACAGACACACTTCAAGAGTGAAGATCTGAATGTAATGTGCTCAAAATCATTATACATTTTTATACTTTTTTAACAATACAATATTTCATCAAAGTTAATTATTACTTAGTGATGTATGATTACTTAATACAAGCTATTCTATTTCATTTTTCATGTAGACGTGTGCAGTGTTCCATACTAAAGTACAAAAAGCAATCTGCAAATAATGATTACACAGACCAACATTCTTTTTTTTAAAATTGCATTTATTTTTTCTTTTTTAATAATAAATTTTATTTTTATATTCCCCATACAATTGCAACCCTCTTATTTTGACCCCAATCCCTCCCCTCCCGCCCCCTACCCCCCATAGAGTGTCTCTGGTTCATAGTTTTTTGTTGATTTTGATTTTCACTTTCTTATAGTTATTCATTTTCCTGGTCCCTTATTTAAATTTTCTAGATTCCTGCTATGAGTGAGACCATCCGGTATTTTTCTTTTTCTTTCTGGCTTATGTCGCTGAGCATGATCCCTTCCAGCGCCATCCATGTTGCTGCAAATGGCATGTGTTTATCTTTTTTGAATGCTGAGTAATATTCCATGGTGTATATGGACCACATCTTCTTGATCCAGTCATCTATTTTTGGGCATTTGGGTTGTTTCCAAAGCTTAGCTATTGTAAACAGTGCTGCTATAAACATAGGGGTGCAGGTGCTCTTTGGAATGGATGTTTCTGTGTCCTTTGGGTAAATACCTAGGAGTGGAATTTCTGGATCCTATGGGAGCTCTATGTTTAGTAGGTCCAGAAATCTCCACACAGCTCTCCATAGTGGTTGGACCAGTTTGCACTCCCACCAACAGTGCACAAGAGTTCCTTTTTCTCCACATCCTCGCCAACATTTGCTGTTGCTAGTTTTTTTAATATGTGCCATTCTCACTGGTGTGAGATGGTATCTCATGGTAGTTTTGATTTGCATTTCCCTGATGGCAAGTGATGTTGAACATTTTTTCATATGCCTGTTGGCCATTTGCATTTCCTCTTCAGAGAAGTTTCTTTTTAGCTCTTCTGCCCATTTTTTGACTGGATAATTTTCTTTGTTGTTGTTGAGTCTCATCAGCCCTTTGCAGATTTTTGTGATCAGTCCTTTATCATTAGTGTTGGGTGCAAAAATGTTCTCCCAGTCGGTGGGGTTTCTCTTTGTTTTTGTTATTGTCTCTTTTGCTGTGGAGAAGCTCTTTAATTTGATGTAGTCCCAGCTGTTTATCTTTGCCTTCACTATCACTGCTTTGGGTGATGTGTCTGTAAAGATGTCTTTGATGTGCAAATCCCGTAGTGTTTCGCCTATATTTCCTTCTATATATTTTATGGTTTCAGGTCTTATGTCTAGTTCTTTAATCCATTTTGAGTTGATTTTTGTGTATGGTGTGAGGTAGTGGTCAAGCTTCATTCTTTTGCATGTAGCGACCCAGTTTTCCCAGCACCATTTATTGAACAAACTTTCTTTGCTCCAGTGCATAGTCTTTGCTCCTTTGTCAAAGATTAGTTGACCATAAATCCGTGGGTTTATTTCTGGATTTTCTATTCGATTCCATTGGACACAGACCAACATTCTTTAAGCTAATATAACTTGTTTTGTTTCCAAGGCTACAACCTATCAGATTTTATAATATCCAACTAGTTTTACATTTTACATTTTACATTTTACATTTTACATTACATTTTTGCACCCAACACTAAGCACAAGCAATTTTTTATATATGTAAGCATTTTAATATTTGTAGTGTTATCTCATATGAGAAGTATTATGATTACTTTAAAAATTAACATTAGCACAAATTACTTTCTTTGTCATGCATTTCCAGGAAAAAGATTTCATCAGTATAAAAAAGGTAAAGTAGTCGAGAAAATAGTATAATTATAGAGTGGTTACTAGGTTGCTTCTTATGTAGGAACAATGGCCAACTGGTTAATAGTTAAACTGCTTTGTAGGTAAGTCCATCAGGCTGATTTCTTGATGACGCTCTGCAGCAACCATGTTTTCAAGTAAAGGAGGGGTTTTTTACTGCGGGCTTAGTGCCTAGATTGGGCTTACAGGCATTTGCCTGAATGAACGCCAAAGAATTTCATTGCGATAGCAAAAGAACAAAAGATGAAACCCCTCGGGGACTGCGCCTGTCTTAGGTGGTCAGGAGTCGCAGACATGCGGCTAGCCAGTGCCATAGCTCGTCTGCCCCCGATCTTACCCGTCATTGACTGTCCAGTCCAGCGCACAGGGGAAGGGGGTCTTATTTACTCTGACTTACTCTGTGTCTGAGTAAAAGCCTCCCTTTTTCCAGTAAGTTCACATGCGTTCAGCGGCAGAGGCTGCCGCAGGGCAGCTCAGGTCAGTGGGTGGCTCATGGCTAGGAGGAGCAGCAGACCCGCCCTGAGAGAATGTTTACAGGAAGGAGGGCTTGGAGGAGCAAGGAGACAACTGGCTTAGAAAAGGTGCAGGGGATCTGCGGGGAGGGGCAGGTCCCAGAAAAGGGAGATCAGCACAAATACACTCCCTTCCACAACGTTTGCTGAAGGGCCCACGCCATGTAAGCCTCCGAGTCCAGCCGCCCTGTCCAGGGGAAGCAGCCACAGCGCTGGGCTCTGCCTTCCTGTTTGCATTCCCAGGCCGTGGACGCTCGCAGACAGCAGGGCTTCCGCTCGGGCTGGCCCGGACTGTTCCGACCACTCCCGGCGCCTCCCAGCAGCAGCCCACAGCTGCCAGGCCGCGTAGCACCCGCGCTGGGGAGGCAGAGACTGAGCTGGGCTCTCCGCCACATTTTGCTCCAAAAATAAGCCATGTCTTCCCTGTATTCAGCCCTCTGGACACCAGTTACCTCCCTCCGTCAGGGCGTGTGGGGGATGGTCTCCTACCTGAGTGGAGACACAGGACCCGGGGCCGGCTGCCTGGTAAGTGCCCTGTGGGGGCGGGGAAGGGTGTGTGTTTGAGTTTGTGTAGTGTGTGTGTATGTGTGTGAGTTGTGTAGGGAGTGGTTGGTGTGAGTCAGGTGTGTGGCGTGTTTGTGTGTGTGTATTTGTGTTTCTGTGCACGGATGTTTTTGTGCCTGTTACATACGTGTGTGTTGTGTATGTGTGCACATGTGTGAATGTATGTGTGGTGGGTGTGAGTATACCTGTGTGTGTGTGTGGTGAGTGTGATGCTGTGTGTTGTGTCTACGTGTATGTTGTGCACGCAGGTTCATGTGAATGTCTGTGTGTTGTGTATGTGTGTTGTCACCGCTGTGGGTGCATTTGGGTGAACAGAGGGTGCCCTGCCTGCCTGTCTGAGGAGACTCGCTGCTCCATCCTGGGCACCTGTCCCAAGTATCGTCATCCTGAGAACCCACCGGGAAATGGTGCCTGCAGGTGTCTGTCTGGAGACGGAATACCCTGAGCGGCACCCCTGGGGGCCCCGTCCAGGGCAGGGCTAGGGAGAGGCAGGGGCTGGGGTGTGGCTCGCGCAGGGGTCTGGGGTGCAGGACACTGGCTCCCGGGTGCCTCAGGGCCCCTCCCTAACCCAGCCTGCCCCTCTCCGGGAGGAGGAAGGAGACTCGTGGGGGAGACGCTGCCACAGCCACAGCAAAGATGCAGGAAGCCGAGGGCAAGGGGCTGAGTGTCTGCACTTTGCAGAGACTGTTCCAGAAGCCCCTGGGGGGTAGACACTGTGTCCCTGAGAGATGATGTCTGGTCTGGGAGACGCTGCTCACAGGCCTGATCTTCTGTAGGGAGTCACGGCTGACTGGGGAGTCCACCCTGAGCAGACGTTACGCCCCACAGCCCGAGGGGCCGCTCCCACCCACCGGCTTCCGGGTCTGGGGCTGACACACGTCCATGACCCAGAGCAGCACCTCCAGCCACGGGGTGGGGGCACTGTCCATGCAGCCCCTGTGCTTGGGTCCCACACCTGGAGACTCTGACTGCGAATGGCTCCGGGTGTCCTGCATGTTCTGGAAACATTCCTGGGCCATTGGGATCCTGCCCAGGCCCCCAGAGAACATCAGCAGACAGGACCCCAGGGCTCCTGAGAGAGGGAGCCAGGTCAGTTCCTGAGGAGGCTGGCTGGGCGCCCGCTGCTCTCCACCAGCAGGGTGATGTGTTCCTGGGAGGGGTGACATGGCCATACTTTGCCAAGAGGACTAAGACTGTCTCTATACAGATGAACCCCAGGTCTCTTAGCTCTTGGCAGAACACTGCCCTGTCCAGGGGCGGCAGGAAGGCTGTGCATGGCGTGGTCCTCCCCCACACCTGGACCCATCTCTCATGCCTGCTCAGTGCTCACTGCCACGCCTTCCCCAAAGGTGAAGCCTGGACAACGTTCTGGGAGGGGCCAGAGACGGCCCCTCCCAGCAACACCTGCTCCTGGCCTCGGACACAGACTGGCCACCAGGTCTCCTGCTACAACCCCAACTGCTCTGGGCCCCTGCCCCTCCCTCCTGCCCACAGAGCACCCCGGGGCCCCTCTTTATCCAATCCATTCAGGGGCAGGGAGATTGTGCAGTTCCTTCCTCCATGACATCTCCTCAGGTCCTCATGGAGACCACAGAGGTTGTGTGTGTGTGTGTGTGTGTGTGTGTGTGTGAACAAGTGTGCCCATGCATGAGAGAGAAGGTGTGTGTGTGTTGGGGGGGGTGGGTGGTGATGCAGGGCCCTAAAGAGTTAAAGTGTCTGAGACGTGCTCCCGCCCTCACTCAGCCAGCTCCATGATTAAACATCCTCCAGCAGACACAAAAGTCATTTAATTAAAACTCAGAAAAATCAGAAACATGTCATATCTTCTCCCTAAAAGGAGGAAGGAAAAAAATCTGAAGAGCAAGTGCCTGAAGACATTCCAGAAGCGCGGTCTCAGAATCATTCGGGGGACCTGTCGCCAGGTAACCTACTGTCCCAGCTGACTTGAATGTGAGAAGGTGCAGGGGGGTGACGGGCAGGTGGTGTGTGGAGAGGCCACATTAGAGCCGCATCAGAGGGCCTCTGGGGAGGGGTCTTTTCCCCCCTGCCCCCGTCAGATGAGAGGGAAAGGCCATGACAGGCAGTGTGTGGAAGGAATTCCAGCACCCCCTCACCCTGTACTGGACCCCTCCCTGTCCCCAGGCTGCGGTCTACATCCTGGGGACCCTGCTCAGGAAAGAGGGGCTGACCCCACTGTGCACAGTGTGGGTTGGAGCCAGCAGGCCCCGCGTGCCGGTCGGCTCGATCAAATGGGAGCTCCCGGCCCGGCTGCAGACTCCAGGGGGTAGAGGATGTGCTGGCAGCTGCTCAGGACTGGGGACCGATTCTAGGGTCCCCCAAAGCTCATACTGGCATCAGGTCAGGGCCTCCACTTTCAGGCTCACTGTGCACTAACTTGGGAGACAGATCGGACGTGGAATCCATCCGTCTCCGGGCAGAATGTGTCATAAACACTGATGACACTGAAGATGTTTCACTAGACGAACTTCAAGGCCTGAGCCTTTAGGAGAAACCTGTGTTAACAGGCGGCATTAAAACACCAAGGAGTCCTGAGGCCTGATTTGCCCTTTTTAGCCATAAACAAGCTTCACTATTACTTAAGAATCCTCAGGGCCCAGGTGATGTGTTCTTCTTAGAGCCCAGTGACTGGTCTGGCTCTGGCTGGTTCTGACAGGAGACTGTCCAGCGCTGCGCTGGGCGGGCAGGGACAGACTCTCATCTTCCCTGCTTCTGTGGGAATCCCACCCATTCACTCAAGTTCCTTTCAAGTCACTTGGGGGTGCTCAAGGACCCCACATCATCCACTCAGAACAGGCTGGTGGGTCAGCCAGCCACAGGTGCAGCAATAAAGCAAGTGGGTGCTGAGGAGACTCAGAGGCCGACAGGCCGGTGCCACCTCAGGGGGCCGCGGGCCCTTCCCCGAGACGCCTCAGGGACGTTGTGTGAGACAGGCCTGGCCCAGCCCCACCTGGCGCCTCTCATGGTGCTCTGGTCCTGGCCCTGGAGGTCAGGAGAAGGGCCTGCCCTCTCCGCCCTCAGCCCCCGCATGGCTGAAATGCTGACACTGGGCTTCTCTATATGACGCGTTGTTGGTCCACGTCTCCGCTCAGCCGAATGTCTCAGCTCCATGCTGGTGAGAGGCTCAATCCAGTCACCAAGGAGTGACCTGGGATGTGACCCCGACGGGTCTGCTGAGTAGCCCCCACGGCCCACCCGCCCAAGGGAAAAGCTGGGGAGGGGGTGTGACTGTCCCCTCGGGAAGACGTGGTCCCTGAATCACACCCCCCTCTCACTGAGAAGGACCTTCAGTCAGGGTCCCTGGACACCCAGACCCACGTCATGGTGGACGGGCCCTCTGGTGGAACACTGACCCTAAAATGAGGTTTAAATGTGAACCTGGAAACATGGTACCACATGTCGTTACCCAGCACTTCTACCCCCAGATCACATCCAGGGGCCCCTGGGTGCCCAGACTGGCCGGCCAGACCCTCCCCTCTCCTCCTCAGGTCTGAGGCAGCCAATCCCAAAGCCCACGACACTGAGGCTTCTTCTGGTGGGCAAAAGCGGCAGCGGGAAGAGCGCCACGGGCAACAGCATCCTGGGCCGGCATGAGTTCGAGTCCCGGCTCAGCGCCCAGCCGGTGACCCAGACCTTCCAGAAGGCACAGTGTAGGCGGGCCGGCCTGGAGCTGGAGGTGCTGGACACACCCGACCTGCTGTCCAGCGGGGGCCCAGCTGACACAGCGCTGCAGGACGCCTGCGAGGCCATCCGGCTGTCGGCCCCGGGCCCGCATGCCGTGCTGCTGGTCACGCAGCTGGGCCGCTTCACCGAGCAGGACCGCGCGGCAGCCCGGCGCCTGCAGGAGCTCTTCGGCCTGGCCGTGCTGGCGCACACGGTGCTGGTGTTCACGCGCAGGGAGGACCTGGGTGACGGCTCCCTGGACGAGTTCCTGCGTGACACCGACAACCGCGACCTGGCCCGGCTGGACGTGCTGTGCTCACGGCGCCACTGTGGCTTCGACAACCGGGCCGAGGGCGCCGAGCAGGAGGCCCAGCTGCAGGAGCTGCTGCTCCAGGTCCAGGGCGTGCTGTGGGAAAGCGAGGACCACCACTTCAGCAACGCGGCCTACCGGTACTGCCTGGAGCACCCCCCGCCCCAGGAGATGCCCGAGGAGCCACTGGACGAGGGTCAGGTGGCCGAGGAAGGGCCTCCGGGGGAGCGCTGGCCAGAGGGCCTGTGCAGGGTCCAGAAGGAAGCCGAGGGGACTCACAGATGGCTCCTGCCCAGGGTGTCCATTTGAGCCTCTGCTGGACTCCACCAGGGCAGTCACATCCTGCAGCCTCCCTCACCCCTGGTCATCTTGCAGCAGATCACTCGGTCACTTCTTTCCTGGGGTGACTGACCACCCCAGTCAGGCCACGCTGTCTGGTGTGGTGAGACAGGGTGTGGGCTCCAGTCCTGGCTCTGTCAGGCCCTTCATCAGGTTGTCCAGGGCACACGGCTCCCTCCCCTGTGCCCCTATAGAGAAAGAGCCTCTGCCCTCAGGCCTTCACCTCCTGAGATGCTCATCTCTAGCCCATAGGCCCGAAGCTGCCTCTGGGCAGCCTGGGCCTCATGTTCCTGTGCACCCCCAGCGTGGGGTCCCTGCAGTCACTTGTTCATGCTGATGGAGCGTAACGAGCGGGAAATACCTGCTCTGTGTGGGGTCGGGGTGTGCACGGGCTTGGAGATGTGTGGGAGGGACGGAGGCTGGGCCGGGCCAGGGCGTGAGGAGGGAAGGAGGCCATCGCCACAAACAAGCCTTCCCGCGAGACTCTTCAGGTGGGAGGGGAACAACATCGGGCAGGGGTGCCCGACAAGGTGGACCTGGAGCTGGCTAAGCCCTGGAGCTGCCAGTGGGACATGAGCAGAAGACCCGTCCCTGAGCCCACACACTCAGGCCTGACACCTGTCTCTCCTCAGGCCTCCTGCCTCCGGCCTTAGAAAACAAAGACCTTTTCAGCCCTGCCTCAGCCCCTTCCCTTCCCCCTTGCTGGTGGGGAAAAGGCACAAGTGGGTGAGTGTCTCAGGTGTGAGTCCCCCAGGGAGGTATCTGGGGGCGAGTATGGAGGGAGGCAGAGAGGAGAGGGCCTGCAAGGGGAGCAGATGAATGACCTGAACATCCTGAGGAGCACCGCCTGGTTGATGGGGAGCACCCTGCAGCGTGGGTGTCTGTCAGAGGAGGCTCCCGTGGACAGGACTCAGCAGAGGTGCGGAGGGAACAGGAGGGAGCAGATAGGGTCTGCTCGGGCTCTGGTCTGCCAGTGCCCTCGGACTGCAGGTGGAGGCTGACCCACCCCTGATGCAGCTCAGTTTCCTGGGGTCCAGACGCGCATGGGGAGCCTGACCTTCAGGGTGCAATGATGAGAGGAAAGGGGGGAACATGCTTCCCGCTCACTCCTCCTTGGCTTTCTTCAAGCACAAGTTCTCTTGCCATGTTTTTTTGGGGGGGAGAGTGGAGGTGGGGTGACGACTGGTGAATAAACTGGAGTCCCAGGACATAGCCTCAGGCCTGGCCCACCCTCGCCTGCTGACCAGAGATCCTACACCTCAGACCCCTCACCTCAGGCCTCCAGCTGACCGCCAGGCCACCCTCAGGCCCCAGAGCAGTGGACTCCTACAAAAGACTAAGAAAACTTTTCTTTTGCTAAAAGCCTCGAAAAAATCTGAAGGCAGCACGCAGACTTGTCTTGGTGTATTCTTAAGACAGCCGCCGTCTCACGACAGCCAGAACCACGCATTTCACCAGCAAGCCACTTCCCAGTGAACTGTATTCGGTTTTCATATCCTTGTCGAATCCTTGTCAGGATGTTTGACTCTTGTTCCTGTCTTCTGCTGTTCTGCTCCTGTGAATAAAGCAGTGACGGGATGACTGCCGTGTGGACTCTGCTGTGGTTGGCTGATTCCCCCTCAGCCTTCCTCTCATATGCCCTTTGCTTCCCTTGGGCCTTTCCTGTTTATGTGACAGGTAAATCACTCGTTTCATTTTCAAAAAAGAATCTGACTGGTGTTGGCAGTTGGAATTCTCTAGCGTTTACACATGATTTTATCAGGAATTGGCAAATACTTCAAGGTTAAGTGAATCAAGGTCACCTTGTGTCTAAATGGACGCACTCAAGGTCAGCGCTAGTGAAATAAAGCTAAAATCATCTGCATTTCCATTAGGGTAAGAAGACAGGTGTCCTTCATCAGGTGTTACTGTTTTAGCTTTAGTTGTTAATTAATATCAAAATAGGTCATACAGGCATTTCACCAATGACACCCATCCAATCACTCTAAAGGCAAGTCGCAAAACATGTCATTTATTAAAAATTTGAAAGGAATTTTCTGTGTTTATATCAAAATGGTGCTTTCAGTCCTTACCATAAGACTCAGAGAAGTCACTTCCCCCAACATTTCAGGAGGAGAGATCGGTGCTGCTACCAGCCCCAGGCTCTGGAGAATGGGGAAGGCCCATTCCAGGCTTCCGGAAACCCCACAGTCTGGGTGCTGCCAGTAGGAGGGTGGACTGAGGTGCAGTGAGGAGGGAGGGTTGTCTTGGTCAAAGCTGTCAACAGTTCTACTGAACTTTAAAATGGATGAACTTTTAATATCTATTGTTAGTGAACTTTAAAATGTCTATTTTAGAAAAATCATCTCTACTCTGGAGCAAAGCAGGAGAGCCAGGGATTTGGGGTGTTTTAAGAGCAAGTGAGTGCAGTGTTGTTTGCTCCTTGCTGGGTCAAAACAACTCTTAGCAGTCAGAGGAAGGTTTCTGACTCCCAATCCCCCTGGAATAGCATTAATGAATGACATAGAAAACACAAAGTAGTAATTTCAAAACTACTGTTTTGAATGTCCTGGGAAGTACCAAGTACAGGCAGATATAGAGGGAACTTGACTCTGGAGGTGGTGGGAGGACCTTGCTGTCATGTGTGTGTCTTTTCCACTGAAGATGTTTCCCATTTGCTGACACAAGAGTCATCCCTCAAGCAGAAATTTACAGTGACCCGTGAGTAAGAGGACGGAGTTCTGGGGCAGCCAGGACATTTAGCAAATGATGGGGAACTCTTGAAAGAAAAAAGCCACAGAATGGGAGAAAGGCCATTGGAAATTCTGCGTATAACCACACTTTAAATCATAGACTGACCTATGAACTCTGATCTCCAAAGTGATCAGGAGACAATTTTCTGGAAGGATGAAATAACTGCTTTCTTAGGTCAGAGAGGTCAGCTGTTGCCCACAGTAGCAACAGAAACTCCATTCCAGCACATAAGAGGGTGGTAAACTTGGAAATTTCGACTGAAATACCAAAGGGGTCACACTTGAGGACTCAGAACCACATGGGGTCTAAGGAATTTGCGCTAAAGGAAGAGCAAACTTGCAGTGCCTTGCGAGTGACATGTCACTACAGGCCTTCCCAAGGTCATCGTGTTCTGCCAGTAACTGAAGTGCTGCTAGAACAAATTCAACATTCTTCAGGAGACAACAGGATCCAGAGTCTCGACAGTACCCGGCGCACTATTATTTATTCTTCTAAATAAGGTTACAAAGCCATGCAGTTTCTCTCTGTGTGTTTCTATTACACAATTTTTGGTATATCTGTTTTCATGATCATTCCATTTAAAATACTTTGTTTTCTTTGTGATGTCCTTGTTTACTTGTGAATTAGAAGTGTGTATTTAATTTCCAAATACTTGAGTAATTTCAAGGAAATGCAGTTTGTGCTGGGGGAGCCGCCTGCCCAGAGGCTGCTGAGTGTGGGAAATCCAGCTGGCGCCCTGAAACACTGATTTTTAAATTTTAGTTCATTATAATTGGCTTTAGTTTTCCATTAAAAATGGGAAGCAACATAGGATTTTTTACCTCAAAACACGGCTTTACTGTTTAGGTAGAAACACACTACCTGCTGTATCACATATTTGCCGCATTAAAGGAGGAGAATGTATTTTGAATTTCTACTCTTCTACCGACACGCCAGAGAGCGGGCAGGGTCGGGGCTGCCTCAGGCTGAAGGAGCTGTTTTACACGCGGATGTAATGCTTTCAGGTGACTATTTGCACAGACAGCATGAGTTAGAATGGCCCTCCCCACACTGACATCAGTAATTAAGTGTAAATAGTGATAATTATTCATAACAAAATTACGTTAATTTTAGCTGAAATATGGACCATTTGTAACTTTAAGACAAAGGCAATAACTGATGTGAAAGTGACTGGAGGTGTAGTTTGCACAAGGGAAGAGAGGCGGGCAGAGAGAGGCGGGAAGAGCAGGCATCACAGCAACAAAGGCAGTGGGTTTGCTGCGGTCAGGAGACAGAGAGAAGAGCTGGTAGAGACACAACAGCAAACCCAGGGAGTCTGCAATGTCATTTCCTCTCAACAAGGAAAACCTCTGACAAGCCTCATCACCTGGAGCCAGAATTAAAGGTCCAACAAAATATTCTAAACAAGGGTGAATAAGATCTGAGCTTGTGACTTGGCTCCTGGGCCCCAGGCCGTCCCCTCTGACTGGGCAGGAGGGGTGGGTGCTTGTTCAGTGCAGGTCAGGGCGTCTCCAGGCCTCCTCGCCACCAGCACGGAGGGTCGACCGCCGGGTGTGAGGACACTGGGAGCCGGGCATCCATCAGACCACTTCCTGCTATTATTTCCACATTTCAAAACAGGAAACACACTGAAGACAGTGTCCTCTCCCCTGACCTGCGGGGACCAGGCAGGGCCTGTCCTGGTTCCTTGTTTCCCTCCACAGGCGGCCAGAGTCCTCTCCCTGGCGGCCAGCAGCAGCCTCGGGGTCCATCCACAGAGCTCACAGGCCTCAGGCTGTGACTGTCTGCGCCAAGCTCAGTGCAAGGAGAAGCCGAGGACACTGACCTGGCCTCTGGCCCCTGACACGGTCTCCACCGCATCTTTATCAGGAGGCTCCCGACGTGTGGCGCCCATGTGTGACGAGATCTTATTTGATGTGTTTTTTGATCTGCAGTTTCCGTCAGGATCCAGGAGGGGAAAGCGTCCTTTGGATCAGCTGGGAGCCCGAGGGTCAGTGGACTCACCTTGACCATTACGAGAGCATTTCCGCCTTTCTCCTTCCAGCGCAGGGTTTGCTCTGTGGAGGCCTCTCTGCAGGGGCTGGTTCAGCGGCAAGCTAGTCGGGAACTTGCTCTGGTAGCAGAATCTCCTGTTGCACGTGTCCACTGCATCGAAACTTTGTAGTTTAATAAGATTCCCTGGTGGCTCTGATGGCTACTGCCTCAGAGAATACTGAGAAACAAACATCAGCCTCCAATGTTTAAAAAAAAAAAAAAAAATTTTTGTGAAAAGATGCCAACTGTGTATGACTGGGAATTTCCCCAGAATGGGTTGTCTATTCTCCATCACTTGGGTTTTGGGGAAATACAGAAGAGGTGTGGCCTTATTTTGGGCAACCTGGCTTGGGGCCCAGAGAAGCCATTTTCAAGATGGCAGAGCAGGGAGAGCTGACAGGGTCTCTGGGGGCCACCAGAGCACGTGGGGGGACATGGGGTGAGCTGGGGAAGCCCTAGGAGCACCCAGGGGAACAACAGGGAAGGAGTAGGGGCTACAGTTCTGTCCCCCGAATGTGAAAGGATTTGCTACACCACAGCATCCTCAGCATGTTGGTTAACTATAATGTCTATCAGAACACAGTGAGGAAATCCAGGGGAGTGGGGTCCCTGCTGACAGAGGAGGTGACAGTGGCTCAAACCCTCCGGGGAAGAGGAGCCGGAAAGACGAGGGCAGGTCCAGTCCACACCACACTAGAGATTTTAGCACAACATGAAACTCATCACAGTGTTCTTACACACAGCGTGGCGACTCCCAAGAAAACCAGACGGCCACTGTGCACCAAATGGGAGAATACAGCTTTATTATCATAGCTATTAACAAACACTCATGGGTAGGCAGGCCTGAGCCGAGGACCCAGGTCAGCCAGAAACCAGGGATGGGGTCCTGGGGGGACCGGGAGGGGAGGCCGTTACAAAGAGAGCAGAGAGCTGGGTGCTCAGCAAGTGAGCTTTGCTGAAGTGGGTGAAGTGTGTCCGCAAATACATCTACAATGATTGTTCTGTCATCTGCTGCATCTCTGCCCTTCTCTTTTCATGGCATTTCATGTAATCAAGTACTAAAAAATCTAATTTCCAGACAGAGCTTTGTTCTCCAATGGGAAGGAGGTGAGAAATGATTGAGTTCCCCTGTAAAATGTAACTAAACATGTTTACGTTCATTCAGAGAGAGATCTATACAGTCCTCAGCCATAAAACTGACTCTGCAAATGCTTAATCTTTCTATAACCCACATGGGTGAGGTGACGGGGTCTGGAAGGTACAAATAAGGGCGGAGAAACCCTGGCAAGATCATCTCCCCATGAGAAGACTCTGGAGAAAGGTGTGTTTGGGGGTAAGGAGAGAAAGCTCGGGGTCACCACCTTTGGTCCCTGCATCCTTTGCTCTGCGTCTCAGGGAGAAATCGCACGGCGGCACCGTCAATACCTTCTGCTCCGAGTTTCCCAAACTGAGAACTTGCATGTCCTGCAAATCAGTGAAACATTTACCAGTTGCCACCATGAGCTTGGCTGTGTCCCATGGTGCTGCAAGCAGAAGAACGGGGAGTGTGTGACTGTGGGGAGTGAATTCTACGGGGCACGGTCACCCAGAAAGTAGACACATTTCCATCACGCTTTCTGTTACTTGAACAGACGTGAGAAAACCAGACATGCAACATCCAGCGCTTTCAAGATCACATCAAGTATCCCTCTCTGATTCTCCACTTCACGCCTGGCATTTTGCTGCTTGGCCTGGTAGACAGACTCCTTCTCTGCCAACTTCCGCTCCATCTGCGCCCTGCTCTCTCGCTGCTCCAGCTGGTCCTCCAGCTTCCTGATCCTCTCCTCATACTCCTGCCTTATCTGCGCTTTCTCCCTCTCCATCTCGGCCCTGTAGTGCTCTTGCCTCACCAGGGTTTGCCTCTGAATCTCCTCCTCCGCCCTCTGGAATAGATCGTTGCTGTAGTAACCCCCTCCGTTCTGCGTCACCACGTGCTGGACCAGGGCCAGCAGCTGGACCCTCTGGGCATCCAGCTCAGCCCCTGTCGCCCTGTTGTTGAACAGACAGTAGCGATCGCTGAACCTGCCCACCAGCTCCCGAATGATGTCTGTGGCTCCCTTTAAGTAGTCACGGAACTCAATGTCCTCCAGGTCGTCTTTTCGGGTGAACAGGAGGATCATGTGTCTCCTCGCTGTGTCCCCAAACATGCTCATCATCTTCTCCGTGGCCTTGTGCTCCTCAGGCGTGTAGCGGCCCAGCGGGACCACCAGGAGCAGCGCGTGGGGCCCCGGGGAGCTCAGCAGGAGGCAGCGGGTGATCTCCTTGCTGGTGTCAGCATCGAGCACCTCCGTGTCAAAGATGCCAGGCGTGTCCACCACCACCACTTCTCCCCCATGCCAGGGGCTGCTCTCTCTCTGGCAGGACGTGGTGACGGATTTTGCAGCGAGGCTGGAATAAAACGCCTTCCTCCCGAGGATGCTGTTCCCTGTGGCGCTTTTCCCTGCTCCAGTCTTACCCAGTAAGACCAGTCTCAGCTGTGACTCTCTGGGGTCTTGGTGTCCAAGGCCTGGGACAGGAGGGGACAAAAGCCACAGTGTCGGGGAGGCCAGAGCGTCTCCACTACAGAGTCCTGTTGGGCGCCCACCACTGCCCACGAGGTGCTGCCCCAGGGGCCTCTGCTGCACAGGCGGCCATGCACAGCCCCACCCTGATGCTCCTCTAGGGGTTTGATCAAGAGCTTATAAGGGAAACAAAACAGTTTAAGAAGAGCCCTGTGTGCTGCGGGTGCAGCTGTTCACATAGGGAATGTAGGAAGCAGCACAGGCGCTGACTCAGGGCATCCTGGGATTGATTCCACCTGCAACTCCCTCCCTCCCCCGCCCCATTTATAGTCAACATGGAACTGTCCTTCCTGGCAAGATCAGTCTGGCCCACACTCCCTTGCGAGCAGCACGGGGATGCCCTCGGGGAAGACACACTGCATCCCAATGCATGCCCTCAGGGATGATGAGCCACAGGACAATGAAACTCCTTGTGTTTAGAGTTAATGATCTACATCGTGGCAATAAGAAGAGGCGATTTTAGAAATATCAGTGGATATCTAGATCTATTATTTTAAAGTACGTGCTGAAACATTATAGTCATGAAATACTGACAAATGTGGGGTTTAGCATAACGTGCCTTGACACATGATAAGCGGGGGAACTCACATTATGTGAATCAGTACCGTTATCCCCTCTTTGGTTCGCAGGGGAATATCCATCCCCTTCCTGGGAAATTGACTGTTCACATCAGAGCTGCAGAGTCAGCAGCTGAGCCCGTGTCCAGAGAACAGGGCCTGAGACTGAAAACCGACCCTCTCCAGCTCCTCCTCGTCTCAGTGACCCTCTCAGTCTGTGAAGTGTGTGTGATGTGGAAATCTCTCGGGACTGCTCAGGGCACACAGCACCCGCGCGAGGCCACTGCCAACCCAGATGCGCGGGTCTGTATGGGGGTGTCCCCGGCCGCGCCGCCCCTGAGCGAGACGGGCCCTGCACGAGGCTCCTCTGTGGAAGCTGCTGTCTCCACGGTGACGCCCACACTCACACCCGTGCCACCAGCACCATAGACCCGCTACCAGCTCCGCTTTGCCTTAGAGACACCGTCACGTCGTCCAGGTCATCGGACCAGAGATGTGGGTCACACTTGATTCTTCGCTTCCCTTTTCTCGCCTCGTTTCCCTGGTCGGCTGGTTCTTTTGGCTAAAGCTGCAAATTTCACTTTCTCCATCTTGAAACCCTCATTCCAATCCAGGCTCCCCCCCAAGCCCCCAGTCTCCTGACCGGCCTCTGCTTCCACCCGTCCCTTTAGTCTACTCAGTAGCTTGCGGTAAAATTTTACAAATATCAGTCATGGGGAAAAATTGTGGAATTTGCTCTGGCTGCAAAATCCTATAGTTAATCCCCTTCCTCTACACTTGATGGTGACGCTTTTGCTAATTGTGGGATGAACAAACCGCCCTTGGTGCTCCCCAGTTAGACACCCAGAGTCCTGGGGTGAGGGGTCAGTTTCCCGGAGAGGAGGTCCCGACCCCGCAGGGCTAAGAGGGCCTCCGGGGGCTGGGGTGTGGGTTCAGAGCCCCCCTCTGTCCTCACAGGCCGTCTGCAGCGGACCCTGCGGGGCGAGGCCCGCCCTGGAGAGGGAGCGAGTCGGGGGGAGACCCGGCCAGGGCTCAGCGCCATCGTGGCTCCTGGCCCAGGGGGCATCGCGGGGTGCGCCTGGGGCAGCCCTCGTCACCCCGGCTCTGCTCTGCGCAGCAGCCCCGCGGGTTGGCCTGAGCCCCGCGGAAGCTGAGCTGCTCCAGGTGACCCCGGAGGGCGGGAGCCGCGCGAGCCCGTGACCAGCACGTGGGGCTCCCCGTGACCGTGACACGGTGTCCCCGGCCCCCCCCCCCCCCGCGCGGCCTTCCCGGGGCTCCCGGACCCCGCCCCGCCTGAGGAGCCGCGGCCGCGGGAGGGAGGACTCAGCCCCCCCCCCCCCGCCGCCCCGCCCAGCCCCAGCCGCGCCCCCGGCTCCCCGATCCTGGGATCCCGGCCCGGAGCCCCGCCCGCGCCCCGCGCCAGCCCACGGGGTACCCCTGGCCCCGCCCGAGCCCCGCTGCCCGCGAACTGGCCGCCGAGGGAAGCGCAGCGGAGGGGGGCGGCCCCGGGGGAGACTCGGGACGCCCGCCCCGGGGGCGGACTCGGGTCGGGACAGGCCGAGGGCTCGGGCCGGGCGTCTGCGGGGCTGGAGGGGCCGGGAGCGGGCGCGGGGCGGACAGAGGGGCCGTCCCGTCCCCCCGGGGCCTCCTCCGTCCTCTGCGGCCCGCGGACGGGCTGGGCAGCTGCAGGGAGCCCCCCGCCCCCCTCCCGCTGAGGGCCACACACAGGAGCAGGCAGGGAGCCCCCCAACCCCATGGCCCCCCTGCAGGGGCCGCGCCCCGGGGAGGAGAGGGGGTGGCGGGTCAGGGGCGGGAGGAGCAGGACAGTGGTGGGGAGGGGGGCGGGGCCGGGGGAGGCTGATCCGGCCCAGAGGGCAGGGCTGGCGCCTCGGGGACCCCCCCGCCAGCCTGGGGAGCCGAGCCCCTCTCACCTGCGCTGGCGCTGGGGTCGCTGTGGAGGGGGGCCGCCATGGCAGCCGGGGTCCTGCAGAGGAAGGAGAAGGTGTCACGGGCGGTGGGGTCTCTGGAACCTTCCACAGGTGCCGAGAGCTGCTGGTTTTCCCAGGCGCTTCCTCTGGAATTCTAAACTGCTGCTCACGCCCCATTCTCGTCTCATTTCTGGGGGTTCCTTTTTCTTACACAAACATGAAGCCTCCAGTGCCCCGTGCTCTGGGGCTGCCCCCACCCCCCTCTGTGCATTCAGAGTCCTGACGGGGTGTCACGGGCAGTCAGTAGCCGACACCTCCCCAGACCCCAAACTTTCCATCCCACCCAGTTCTGCATTTTGGCGTTTGTGGGCGTCTCCACAGAATCAGACCACGCTGCACCCGAGCTCCCCCAGCCTGTGGCCACAGAGTCCCGGTTCCCGTGAATGGCATCTCTAGTCAGCCAGCGGTTTTGCAGAACCTGGGGTCCTCTGTACCTCCTGTTCCTCAGCTGCTCCCCAGTCCCTCTGCAAATCCTGCTGATTCTACTTGCAGGTACTGCAGATGATCCAGTTCCCTGCAGCTTCGTGTTAACCTAATGGGTGGTCACTTGTTAACAATGGAGCTGATGGCTGACTTTTTTTGCTTTAGTCAGATCATTTTTCATGTCATACTTGGGGTTTTTTCCTGTTTAAAATTATTACTGTTTTTGCAACTAATTTACCATCCTTGGCATAGCCCAGAAAGCCTCCTGAGCCATCAGTGTCTCTCTTTAAGAGGCTTCAGCCATCCTGCCCCCCTCAACCTTCCCGAGTCCTCTACCCTCCATCCACCTGGCACCTTTGTGGCCCGTGCCCTCTTCTTGGGAAATCCCAGGCCATCTAGTGCCCAGAGCCCAGCTCCCACTTCTCCACAGAGTGTTCTTCAGCCCCTCTCCCCAAGCCGGTCACCCCCAACAGCACAGCTTAGGTGAGGTCACCTCCAATTGCTCTGCTCGCTCAGGGCTCAGGTGCAGTGGGGTTTACAACAGGGAGACCTCGTCTGTGCCCCGCTGTCTCCCCCTAGAGTGATGATTTGTGATTGCAGGACCCCCTGGGTCTGGTATTTCCTGTGCCCCCCAGGAACAGGTGCGCTCTGGACAGAGACCGGTTCTCAGTCAGCACTTGCTAAGTAAGCAAACTGCTTAAGCATCGTCCCCCTGACTCTGCCTCCCTCTGAAGGGCCTTCTGCCCAGCCCACGCGGGACCTGTGGAGAAAATGACCCTTCCCTTATTCACCAGTAGAGAGTGTTCTAGAAACACGGTACCACATTTTTTTGCTACCCGCAACCTTTTGAAAGCATTTAGAAGGACCCTGGCTGAGCTGACCGCCCAGGGCCGGCTGAGCGTGCTGGCGTGGAGGGGCGGCTCAGTGATGGCAGCACCGAGCCCAACCTGACACGCTGTCAGATGCCGAGAAGCGCTTTTGAAAAAAGGGTTTTCTCTTTATCCCTCAAGGAGAGAGAGGAGGAAACAGCTTCCTGTGAACAGAGGAGAGAAATCACAGACTCTAAAATATCAGTTCTGGCACAATCTGCCGCAGGTGGTTGGGGCTCTCTCCAGCCCCGGGGCTCTCTCTGCAGTCTCCCCGCCGCCCGTCCACCCTCACTCAGAGCTGGGCAGAGACCCCTGCGCTGGAGGCCGAGCCTCCCCTCTGCCTGGAGACCAAGCAGGTTGTGCCCCGGCCTCTCCTGGCTGCAGTCACAGGGCTGCGGTCCCTCCTCCCGCTCCTGGGGTCCCGCTCCTCCCACTGCTGTGGTCCCCCTCCTCCATTCTCAATGCACTAGTAAGGAACCGTCCCTGAGGAGGCAGATTCCCAAGGGCAGCTCTGGCCGGCAGCACAGGGGGGCCACAGCTCTGGCCCTGACCCTGTGCTCCCGGGGTGCACTGGAGCTGGGCTGTGCTGCTCCGCCTCTGGCGTGAGCTCCCACCCGCCCCCGGAGCTCATGGTGTCCACTCGGCCATCTCTCCCTGCAAGCTTCGTTTATTTATAAATTCTGTGGGTTAGGAACTGGCCCGTACATTTTCAGGAGTCTCCTCTGATCGGTCACCCCTGGAAGAGGCAGTAACTCATGGGGCTCGTCCTTGGGAAGAGAGACAGCTTAAACTCAGCCCAACAGGGAACAAGAGCCAAGGAGGGGCACACCCTGAGAGCAGGTTTCTCCGGAGGTTGCCGACACCCACCGGGGCGAAGTACCCAATTCACAGTCACCCACTTCCTCCCCATCAACACCCCACACCCCTACCTGGAAAATCTGGGCCCAGCTTCTTTCACCAATTTTCTGGTCACTGCTCAGCCAGGATGTCAAGAACGTGGAGGAAGTGGAAGTGAGGGCGGAGCCGTCAAAGCTCGCTCCGAGGAGACCTGCCCCTGGTCATCGGCAGCGCCGCCCGAGCCTCTGCACGGAAGGGCTGTACCGGGTCAGGGCAGCGCCGCAGTGGCGAGAGTGGCTGGGAAATGAAACACTGATTAAGGATAAAGTGCAATCGCCCTTCAGCCTGGCAGCTAGTGTTCTAGACCACGAAGGACACTACAGAAAGGAGCCAAGCGTGGGTCATGCTGGAAAATTCTGGAAGAAACTTTCGGGTCGGTGCCAGAGTCACCAATTAATCGATGGCCATGGGTCCCTGGACATGCTTCTCAGGTCTGGCCCCACACCTGCACCCAGGGCTTCAGGCTGGTTTCAGGGCAGGCCGGTCCCTCCCTGCTCCTTCCTTGAGGGATGTGGGAGAGACAGGGCTGCTGCTTTCAGGCTGCTTGCATCTTTGGAATGATGTGTTGGAAGCATGAGGTTAGTTAGGACGGGTCCAAACTCACTCCAAGAGATACTTGGTACTGGGTGGTACCTGGTACCAGATGGTATGAGGAGCATCAGGAATAGTTGACCCTGATCTGTGACACCGCCTGCCACGGGGAGGGGCTCTGTGAATGTTGTCATGGGGTCCCGGTTCCCTGGAGACTCGGGTCTCATTATGAAAGGGTCTGATTTACCGTTATGACCCTTCATCTGGAAATAAAATTCAATCTGGAATTTTATAGCACTGTAGTAATTACGCAAACTGCTAACAGCTCTCAAGCTAGATAAGCGCAGACGCCCATTTCTCTGGAGTAGCGTGTGGTCGGTTTTGTTATGTAAGCACAGGCTAAGCTCCCTGTGCTGGGGAAATACAGTATCATCAATCATGCACTAGTGATGAGGAAAACAATATTCCAGAACAGAGGAACCTACGTTACAAGGTCAGCTCAGCCCCTGAGTGAGACAGGCGAGTGCAGCCAGGCCAGAGAGGAGGCAGGAAGAGAAGTTTCCTGTGGTCCTGAGGGAGATAGAAAGGGAAGGCCCGGCTCCATTGTGTCTCAGTTAAGCCCACTAGGAGGTTTGTGTGAGTCCATATTCACCGTGGGGAGCAGGTCGATGTAAAACATAGTCACTATGTTAAGTTCTAATGCACTCACTCATTCCTCAGGTTTCTTCATTTGCATACAGGGGTCCCTGCTGGTAGGAAAGTCCCCTGTTCTGGCTGACATTAGTGGTGACACCCAGGTCTGGGTTAAGTGCTTTCACATGAGCCATGATAGAGTGGACTTTTGTACATTAAAGGCTCATATAAGTAGTAACAAGTAGTCAAAAATATTCATCATCTGTGATACATTTAAAAATTGGAAAAGGAACATCAAAATGAAAATCTGGTCAAGAAAATGAGGGAAGCACTACAAAGAGAAATCATTGAAATAGAAAAAGAAGAACAATAAAGAAAAATTGAAATCTAAAACGAAATGGGGCCTCCTTAGGGGCGCAAGGGGTTATGATGCAACCTATGAAGCTGTCCGCAGCCACTACAGCCTGAGTTCGATTCCCGCCCAGGGAGCTACCCACATGGCACAGCAGACCTCTTCTGGATCGCCTACTGCTCCCCTCAGCAGTGGATTTCAGTCAATCCACCTGTTCTCTTCCCCACTTTGTCTCTGGTGAATCCTCTTACCCCTCACACCTCTGGCCTGTGCCCCACCTCTTGTATGCATAAATAGATAATCTTTTAAAAAATAAATAAATAAAAATAAAATAAAACTAAATGGTTGATGATGTCAATAAAATGGACAAATCCCTATCAAAGTGAATAAAGAAAATGTGTAAAGATGCTCAGATTACGCTCATAAGAGTGGAAGTGGGAACACCACTGCAGACCTCACACATTAAAAGCAACAGTGACTGAGATAGACTGAAATAGAAATTCTTCTTCATGGCAGAAGAATTTGATTATTTAAATGAAATAGATTTTTACAGACACAATTTAGCAAAAGCTGATGCAAGAAGAAATAGCAGATTTGAAAGCCAATATCAAACCAAAAATTAAATGTAAGTCATTCCCAGAAAAAACTCCAGGGCAAAATGAAATCAGCGCTGAATTCATTGAATACGTGAGGAATAGATCGGCTGGGACAGATGTGAGCTCCTGGGTGGGCTGCAGACACCAGGGGGGCAGCAGGATGTGCTGGCGGCTGCTCAGGACTGGACTCTGCTTCTAGGGATCCCCCTCCCCGCACCGCCAGTGCTCAAGTATCAGGTCAGGTGCTCAATTTTCATTGAGCCAACTTTGCAACTGAACGAGAGGGAGAGAATGAGGATACTGGAAATGTATCAATCTCCTGGCCAGAAGAATGTGAAGTGATTCATGGCGTTTGTTAACACAGTAGTAATTCCCTATGTGGACACTATCTACTCCCAGTCCTGAGCCGCCAGGGAAGCCAGATTGATCAACTACATAAAAACACCAATATGCTTGTTAACCTGATTCACCCTTTCTGGCATAAATCAAAATATATACTATTTTAAAATTTTCCCCAGAACACTAGTGATGGACTTCACTGGAGAGTCCTTGATGCTGGCTACGGCTCCTGGATGGGGGACGCTGATGTGTGTGTTTGTGCCTTGGTCAGGAGGGCAGAGCTGGACATTCTGCTTCCATGGTGTTCAATCTCTCTTTCCCTCCAATTCCATTCCTGCCACCCAGAGGACACTGACGGGAGCCAGATCATGCAGTCTGAAATGGCTAGTGGGTCACCAGCCAAGGATGGAAATGTGGGTGCTGAGGAGACTCAGAGGCAGACAGGCTGGTCCCACCTCAAGAGGCCACCGGCCCTTCTCTGAGATATCTCAGGTTGGACCAGCCCCACCTGGCTCCTCTAACTGTGCTCCGGTCCTGGCACCTGGAGATCAGGAGAAAGGCCTGACCTTTCTGCCCTCAACCCCAGGCATTGCTAAAATGCTGACCTTAGACTATTGAGACTGTGTTGGCCTGCTAATCCTAAGTGGCCTGTTTGGCCGCCATTTTTGTCACCTGCAGTAATGCATCCCTGCACAAGGTCAGAGCTGCCTGGTTAATCAGTCACAGGAGCCCAACCTTACAAGGTCCCTTTCAAATCAACCAGGAGAAGAAAGCTTGCTCACCCTGGGAAGGGTGTGCATCACGAGGTATGACTGGGAACACCCGGGTGGCTGAGGACCGATGTATGACAAGTCACCCCAGAAGCTGATCAGCGGACACCTTGTTGATGAGATCGGAACCATGGCCTGGGGTCTGGGGTCTGGTTCTGAAGACAACACTTGGTCATCAAGCAGATGAGAATTATCTAGTCAGCAGGCTCACGTCCCCCTGAAGCCCTAGATGACAAAATTCACGTTCTTTAGTCTCACCCATCTTTCCCTCTTTGTCCTCCGACCCCATGTAACTGACACTGTATGATTAGTCTGTCAATAAAAGGGCCAGGGTCTTGTTCGTTCAGCAGCATCCTGCATTGTGAGGCCTGCTCCATGACTCCTGCTTAGCAGTGTGATGTTGCCGACACAACAAGACAGTTCAGTCCCGTCTCCAAGGAAGTGACCTGGAATGTGACCCCAACGGGTCTGCTGAGCAGCCCCCACAGCCCACCCTCCCAATGGAAAAGCTGAGGAGAGTGGTGTGACTGTCCCCTTGGAGAAGACATGGTGCCTGAGTCACACACCCCACCCTCTTACTGAGAAGGGGCTTCAGTCAGGGTCTCTGGACACTCAGGACCATGTCATGATGGATGGGCCCTCTGGTAAGAACGGTGACCCCGTGAGAAGTTACCAAACCTCCTCATGAGGTGGTTTCTCCTGCTGTTATGCCCTGGCACCGGCAATTCCGCTCCTCTGCCAGAGCCGGCCCCAACACCTACAGGGGCTTCTGTCCTCCACTCCCTTTTCCCGCCACCAGGGAGGCTATGGCCCTTGAAGACAGAAAGAGCGTTGAGCAGCCAGTTGAAGATTAACCTACAATTAGTGTCTCAAGGGCAGATTCTGACACTTGGCCTGAAATAGGCCTAAGGAATAAGTGTTGCAGGGCCAGACTATCACAAGGGCCAGACTGTCGCTAATCTAATCGCAAGATTAGATTAATCTGCAGGATAGTGTTACAAGGGCAGATGTCACGCTGGCTGACCATTAACCCAAACAAGTGCTGCAGGGATACTCGCTCAGTGGTTCCTCAGAAGTATGGGTGTGGCCTGGCGGGTGCCCAGGCCTGTCAGGGGAGAAGCTGAGATTGGACAGCCCAGACATTCCTACCTTGGGGTCCCGCCTACCTTCAGCATGATGAGGTGGTTTCTCTTGTTCTGTGTGAGGCCCAGAGTCCCGGCCTGTAAAGCCCCCTCAGAGTCTCAGAGTCTCAGAGTCTCAGAGTCGGGGCAGCCCTGAGGGTCAGCGGGTCCTGGGAACCTGGTGGCAGCACATACCTTCGGGCTCCCCATCCCCCGCCGCCAGAGACAGTATTTAAGGGACTTTTGGAGGCACTGTTGGGTGCTAAAGCTTCTCAAAATATTGAAAAAACTTTATTAATCAGCTTCAGATATTGAAAAAGCAATAGAATTTTATGGAAAAAAAATTTATATGGTTGTCTGTTGTCTGTCACTTCTCCAAGTCACATGACATGGCCCAGCTTTCATCTTGTAGGCACTAGTAGTTATACTCATGCAGTGGAGGTTCAGGCAAAGAGGGATGGAGCTCACCACCTAAGCGGGACCTATGAACCCCTCTTCCATATAAGGGAAATGAGTCACAGACACATGCAGGAGAATTCAGAGATTAGCTTCTGTCCTGTGTTTTCTCTCCAGGTCAGAAAAGGGGGTAATTTTGTTCCAGCCACTCCCTGGAGAAGACACAAAGAAATGTGAAATCCCATACTCATGGACTAGAAGAATAAACATCTTTTATGGCCATATGACTTAAAGCAATCTAAAGATTCAATGCAATACCTATCAAAACCCCAATGACTTTTTTCAAGGAAATGGAACAAGCAATTATAAAATTTATATGGAATCACAAAATATATACGGAACCACAGAAATTTTATGGACCACAAACCCAAATAACTACAGAAATCCTGCAAGAAAAGGAAAAAAAAAAAATGGAGCTATCACACTTCCTGACTTCATA